GGCCTTCTCGGTACCCGAGTGCGTACGGCTGGCTCGGATGTCGCATCATTTACACAGACTGTTGAGGAAGATCCTGGGATCGGTATCAAGGGCACAAAGAGATGACTTGAGTGAGATCTGGGGAGAAGAACTCTTGAGCTTAGGAGAAGAAAACATAAGTGATTTTGGGAGACAGAATGCCATCGGGAAGCCGATGAGTAGTGTCCCAGCGCCGGAGGAAAATGATATAACGCACAAGAAAATGATAGAACTGGAGCCTCTGCTGGAAGCCTCGGGAGAATGCAATCTCCGAAACATAGAAATTACACATGGGGAATGCCCATGCCATTGCTTGGCATAGACAGGAGCATTGAAACCATTGTTTAGTGTGGGATGTAGAAAAAATTCGGACAATCGGGTTACCCGATCATCAGCAGAAGGTGACCATCTTGGTAGTAAGTACGATATTGGTGTTACGATGGATAGAAGAAAATGTAACGAAGTATAGGGAGTCGAAGACATCTACGCCGGAATCGATACACGCTATAGACTACAGCAGGAGACTTGAGTTAAATGAGACTGTATGCAAGGTATCCGCCATGCCAATGGATGTCAGGCACGTATGGAGCCGCATAACGTTCTTTCCGTGGTTCCGAGCGACGTTGACATCTTGGTTGTACATAGCGACGAAGGATCACATGAAGAAATACCAAAAGGAATATCGACAGTTCCTGGCGGAGATAGGTCCGGAAGCCTTCAAGAGACCTCTGCTGACCCATCGAAACGCGATCACAACAGGTTGGAAAAGAGTTGGTAGGGTGTCTAGAGATAATACCAAAGCAAGAGAGTCGATACTGGAGGAAGACTTGGCGAAGAACTGGAATCGAATACGAAGGGTCTACCGAATCAGGCAACGAGGTTGCAGGAGCAGAAGGAGTGGATGCGATCCTTCGAACAATTGAAAGCATGGGAAGAAATTGTGATCAGCTCCGATGATGAGGAAGCGCTACAAAGGCAGATCACGGTGTCAAATTCATCAGGTCCTAGCACTTCGGAGGCTAGGAATACGAAATGAGCAGGGAGCTCAATGTGGGTTTCATGAGTCTTGAGAGGGAAAGGAAGGGGCTCGAGTGTAAACTCGGATGAAATGCGAGGTCACGAAAAGAAATTTTAACGAAACAAAGTATTGTTATTAATATGCTATAGTTATTATATAAATCAAAATGTTGCATGACTATTTCCTGATTGAATAGGACAAAAGAAATTTTAATCACAAGCTTCAAAAGCGTATATTTAAGGTGCAGGTATATGAAAATTTTTATTGATGTTTAGCGATAGTGTGACAATTTTACATGGTTGTGAATTTTGGGGTGTAGATAAAATTAAGTCTACAGCAAACTTCTGTAAATGACCACTGGCACTGTATCTTGAGCAACACTCTGTATTCTGGGGACTCACTGGCAGACGGCAACACGCTATGAGGACATCGATCTTGAGTCCGGGGAGTATGTGCCAGTCAGTCATATTTGGAAGTTTGACCTTGAGGAATACGAACTACGTAATTTTGGCAGGAAATTTGATTTTTCATAATTTCGAATTGAGCCTGTCATGCTCAACTTTCTCGCGAAAACTGAAAATCTCAGAAATAGAAGATCAGAATGACCAATTTACAATCGCGGGAAATTACTTGATTAAAACAGCGGAAATTGCTATTCTCAATTTCCAGAGATAAATCAAGCGCGAGTAGAGCTGTCTTATCCTGAAATAGGAGAAGAAACGATTGCGAAAGAAGAGCGTATTCATCCGAGCTGAACCAGAGTGAACCCTCAGTGGAAAGGTGGACAACTGGGGTGTCCCAAGGGTTCAGACCAAAACTTCAATTCTTGAGTCAAAACTTATTTACCTTGCTGAAATTAATTAGTATCAAACTTCTCAAGTTATCATACTTAATTCTCAAGTTGCCTATTGATTTAGTAAGTGCCCAATTTAATTTTTCTTGAGTGGGTTTTATGATCGTTATAATCATAATAACAGAGGATTTAGGACTAATCCAAGGGTTCGCATAAAACCCAGTGATTGGGAGGTTCAACGTTCGTGTTTCAGTTGATAAAGTTTAGTTTCTTCAAATCTCTACAGTTGTTGCAGCCACATAATATCCGCCAAGTGCATGAATCTGATTCGTTGCAGCGGGTTTTGAAGAACTTCGTATAAATTTTCAGCAGTTTAATTTTGCATCCTGGATCAAAAATTATGTCAAATTTGAAGTAATCGTTAAAAAGGTTGGCCAGACGGCAAGCTCGAAACCAGTAATCGGATTCACACTTCTTCAGACGTATTTGTTGGCAGGCAAAATTTCGTGTTGCTTGTGTTCTTCGAGTGATGGTTACTTGACTACGCCAGTCTATGTAAACTTTTCCGGTTAGTAGTTTGGCAAACAAGAGAATAACATGAAGTTCTTGATATAAGGAGATTGGAAGGATATCGAGTTTCACGAGTTTATCCTTATAGGAAATGTGGTTTGTGATGAAGATCCATGATACTGCTTTTCGCTGGATACTTTCAAGAGTACCTAAGTCGCCTTTTGATGGTTTCCAAAGGGCTGATCCGTAGTTTAAAATTGGCACAACATAACAGATATATGCGTTCTTTCTGGTCCAAAACCTCGCTTTTGAAAGATTCCGCGTTAGGATGAAGAGAGCGTTCAAGGCTTTTTCGGTCCTTTTCTTTGCATGCAGAGTCCACGAGAGTGTGTCATTTACGAGAATTCCCAGATTTTTCGAACATTCAGTTGTTTCAAATTCATGGTTTGGCAGTGCAATAGGAGCTGTACCTTTAATGCAGAGCACTTTACTTTTTCCTAAGTTCATTGACATGAAATTTTCGTCACACCACTGCCACAGTTTTCTAACGTCTATATTCAGTAGTGTTAAACGGTTGTCGCCTACAATTTTGTAGTCATCAGCATAACCGAACGATTTGGACATGACACATCATGGAAGATCGTTTATGAAAACCAAGAAGAAGAGCGGTCCGAGGATGGAGCCTTGTGGTACGCCACTGAATAATTCTAATTCATCTGAAACAGTGTCATTTAGTCTCACAGTTTGCTTCCGTTTATAGAGGTAGCTTCTTAACAGATTCAAACAGTTTCCACCAATCCCCAGAGCAGCCAACTTTTGTATGAGAAGCTCATGCGTGACTTTGTCAAACGCTTTCTCGAAGTCTATATAAAAGATATTCAGTTAGGAGCAGTTTTCAGACTCTAAGCAGCTATAGATTTCAGGCAGATATTCTATAAGGTTCGTCATAGTTGACCGTTTGGGTCTGAAACCATGTTGGTCTGATGCCAGAGTTGGGTAAACAATTGGAGTCAGCTTCTCGAAAATCAGTTTCTCTAGCAGTTTTGAAACTGTTGAAAGCAGGCTGATAGGCCTGTAATTACTCACATCTTGTTTATCTCCGTCTTTGAGTATTGATGCAATTTCACTGACTTTCCATTTTTCCGGAAATCGGGCTTTATTTGCGATGAGGTTAAACAGTAAGTGCAGTGATTTTGGCAGTGACTTGGAGAGACTCTTCAGAAGTAAGTTCCCGATCTTATCCGGTCCCTTGGCTTTATTTACGTCCAGTAGTTGCAGAGCGTTTTCTATTTCATCGGTCGTAAAGTGAATCTGATTTAGTAGGGTGCTATTTTGTTCGCCTATTTTCGTATAGTAGGTGTTTTGAGTGAACACTGATTGAAAGTATTCGTTGAATAATATTACTTTTTCAATATCTGTATTGGCAGTTCTTTGATCCAAAAAAATTTCGGAAGGGATAGTGTTTGACTTGGTGGTCGACTTTAAGTATCTCTGTATGGCGCTCAATTTGCCTTCCTTGAAGAGCGTCATCTCATGTAGATGCTGGTCATTTTGAAGCGACAGGGTGAGCTCAGTTTGTAGACATTCGATTTTGATTTTGTTTGACGGCGTGGGCTGCCGTTGTTGTTTTAATTGAAGTGTATTTAACTTCTTGATGAGGTTTGAAGAGTTGCCACCTACCGATGGAGCCAGTTGGGACCTATGTTTCGTAGTTAGTGAAAGAAGATCCTTTAAAATTTCGTGTAGCCACTTAAACCAAAGTTCAACCATCAAGTCCACGTTGCTCATGCAGTATGGTCGGAAGGGATGTTGGAGAATGAACTCATTAATTTCTTTCCAGTTAGCTTTCTTTTATGCAAATATACCGAAGTCTAGCTTTTGTTTGGGAGACGGTGAAGAGATATGTACAGGTCGGATGTCAAACGAGACTTTAGCTTGATAAGGTTTGTGGTAAGAATTGAAGAGACTTCTCAGATGGTTATCAATGACTATGCTTGTCACATACTGGGGTTTATTGCATAAGAGAACATCCAGTGACCTTCCGTCCCAAAGTTCCACTGTCTAATAAAAAGTAACTGTGCCGATTGTTCCGACCCTGTTTTTAACGGCGTTCGTGTATTTTGGGTATGTTGAGACCTAAGTATGGGGACGTTCTTATTTTCTAGAGTGGGGGGGGGGGGTATTTTGGTAGTGGCCTTTAAGCTGTAACGGGTTTTTAGTCTCATGTCGCAAGCGAACCGAATTGGCCCCGACCGTTCGAGGTAGAAAAACACAAGAGATAGTGTCCCTGACTCTTGAGCCAATAGTCATAGGGCCTATTTTTCTTGAACCTCATGTGTGACCGAAGTAGACGACTGTTACACTAAGATGCGTCCGCTCTAGTAAATTTCTTTTTTTTTCAAATTGACTGGTACTGCTAATGCGTCATAATTGGCTTGCGTTCTTTAACAATTATGTAGACTCATAATTGGCTTGCGTCACTTAAGAAATTTTGTAGACTCCAAGTTTTAATCATTCAGTTTTTCTCAGTAGCGTTATCGGTCATGTTTTGCTTGTGTATGCGAAGTGCAACTTCGCCTCTGTGTTAAAATTATATTCCTAGCTGGCATGTTTTCCTCAAAATGTAATTTTTCCAGACAAACTAAATCAAATATATGACTAAAGTTCTAGTGGTTATTTCAGTGAAATGTTCAAATTCAATTTCGAAAACTCCGAAAGTGAATGCAATTGGAATGCCAAAAAACCGGAGAAATCCACTTGCATGGTTCCTCTGATTGTTCATACACCTCACATGCACTCCAAAATAGAAAATGATGATGTCTCAAGTCTGAAGTTAAAGGAGGGACAAGAAATGTTTTTCTTCAAAAATAAGGATTGCAATGACTACAAGTTCAGTTTGCTGCCCAATGTTTATGAAGGTGGCTGCGAGCTTTGGGAGAGCACAGTAGATCTGCTTAATTTTCTATCGAGGAACAGAAAACTCATGGAAAACCAGACAGTACTTGATCTAGGGTGTGGCTCAGGCTTATTGGGAATTTTTGCACTTCAAATGGGTGCTGAAAAAGTGATTTTTCAAGATTTTAATGCTAAAGTTATAGAAAATTATTTGTTTAAAAACATCAAAATGAACTTCAGTCTAGATTTTGCCCAAAAGTTTGAAAGATGTAAGTTTGTGAGTGGCGATTGGAATGATGCAAACCTGGTTCATCAGCTATGTAAGCCAACTATCATCCTGAGCAGTGAAACATTGTACGATATCTCTAGCTACGACGCTTTGATCTGTTTGTTTGAAAAAATTCTTGCTCTTGGGGGCAAAGTATTTTTAGCATCTAAATTATATTATTTTGGCGTTGGTGGCTCCGTTGATGCTTTTATCGAGCGTTCGTCTAGTATTTTTTCATCTGAAATAATTTATACAGTAAGTGATTGTGGAGTTGGTAGAAGAATTCTTTTGTTGCAACGTAAATAGTATTCTCAATTCATATTTTTAGAGTCAAATTATAAAACAAATTCTCGCTCATCGCTAACAGTTAACATGATTAAGAGTTTTCAGATAACTATGAGAAATATCCTCGAGGTTTTTAACAGTAATATGCTGCAAGGCTTCCATGCTCTGGTGACCGGAGGAGCTGGAGGGATCGGCAGACAAGTTGCTATTGATTTGATTAAGTTGGGCTGCAAAGTTTCGATTACTTCCCGAAAAGAATCCAAACTTGACAATGCTGTTGAATACATCAGGCAACATGCATCTAAGGATTTGCTACGAGGTTCTCTCGGAAACGTTAAAAGTGAATCTGACGTGAAAAACATAGTCAAATCTTCACGTGATCATTTTGGACCAATCAATATTCTTATTAATTTAGCCGGAGGACAGTTTCTGTCAAAAGCGGAGAAGATACCCTTAAAAGCCTGGAAAGCAGTTGTTGACTCTAATTTAACGGGATCTTTTTTAATGAGTCAAAACGTGTTTTTGGCCGACATGAGGGGTTGTGGAGGAAACATTATAAACGTTACTTCAGCTGATATGTCCACAGGGACCATTCCTGCAATGAGTCATTCGTCCGCGTCAAGGGCAGGTGTAGAAAACTTAACAAAAAGCTTAGCGCTAGAGTGGGCAAAATACAAAGTTCGAGTTAACTGTGTAGCCCCTGGGCTTATTTATACGGATTTAGCCGAGTCGAATTATAGAGTCCCAGTGTTCGAGAAATTCAAAGACAGTGTACCGATTGGTGCTTATGGTCGTCCAGAGGATGTTTCTGGAATAATATGTTTTCTCTGCTCTCCTGCAGCTGCGTTTTTTACCGGAGAAACTATTAGAGTTGACGGTGGATCAAGTATATACACTAGCTTATGGAGAGATTCCACGGATATATTTTCCAAGCTATAGATTTGCTGATCAATACCTATGGAGTTTGTTTTAATTTTAGGAGATCGAATTTTCTAGTTAAGAAGTAACCCCTCTTGAAAAGTGAGAAGGAACCACGTGTTTTTTCTCTCCCCAATTCGGGCAATCTCAAAGAAAGCTTTCAGGGGACTGAGTGTGGTATCAAATTCAAGCCTTTTAAGCCGTGGTTTGGGTTCCGAAAAAAATTGTCTCATTGTAGATAAAAACTGGTCTATATTCTTTCGTTTTCCAATTTAAATCAGACAGGAATTTGATTAGAGGACGACCTCGAAATCTGATTATACTAAATTTTTGTTTCCGCAGATAGCGCGAAGCTCTAGTTAGCCTATCTTTTTAAAGCTAATTTCCTCTAACGCTAGCCAAGAAAACGCTTGATTTTTGCCCCACATTGTGATGCTTGAAGTACCGCATCTGAATACTGTGTACTTTTTGAATGGTATACGGTTGCCCTTTATTATCTTCGTGGTTTTACTTGTCTCTGTTTAAAAGAGTTTCAATTTGTTGAACAGATGGTTCTCCGTGTGACAAAACTATGATTGGAAGTGTTGTTTTTTCAGGTATGATTGATAATGGAAACCGAGGTAACCGCAGTTTTACGGGACATAAATCAGCTCCATTTAGATGTGCAATCGCAGCTTCAACAAATCAGAGCAGAAGTGAGTTCTAAAATTGACCTTGAAGAAGTGAACTTCGAACTGCGGCAATGTTTTCAACAGTATGAATCAAAACTGAGCGAGTTGCGCATTTTTGCAGAAGAATTGGACGAAAAAAAGAAACGCGATGAGCTGAATCAAGATTACCTTTCTTACAAGAGCCAACTAACGACTTTAAGAACAGCTCTGAGAAAGGCGAACGTGCAATGTCACCAACGGATAGACAACGAGACAAGAGAAGCTCTATTGTCCGGTTCAAATTTGTCTGGTCTAGAAAAGAGTAATAAAAATAGAATATCAATGCAGAGGCAAAGTAGAGACATTACTGAGAATTTGACGGCTGTGAGTCGCTTGCTTGCAGAAGAGGTTAAGAAATCGGAGAGAACTGTGGAATTGTTAGCGGGGTCTTCAAATAGTGAGTCGAGTTTTCAATGTGTTTTTTTTATGCTCATTTTATGGATCTAGGTGGTTTCGGTGTTTTTAAGAGTCAATGAACGCAACGATTTGTCAGTGAGCGCGGTAGAAAAGTCTTAAAATGCTCTGTAAACTACAGAAGTTCGTTCATGCATTTTATTGCATTTATGAATGCAATTGGGCATATATAGCTTTTAACAATTTTATCGAACAACTTCTTTACCTTGGTTCATAAAGAATTCAAAATTTGCAGTGTCTCTTGCACGCTTAGTCTGGTGGTAACGAATACGCCTGGGACGGCAAAGGTCCTGCGTTTGAATCTGACCAGGACCAGTTTTTTTCAAACCGGTTCAAAAAATTTCGTCCTATTATTTGTCGACTTAGTTCCGACATCTAAGAAGCGTTTATTCTAGCTGAAAACAATTTTAACTGCAGTTGTTTTTAGCATTTTAAAAATCCGGCCCAATCAAAATTTGCTTTTCATATTGGTTGTATTAACTGTTTGAGATAAAAACAACTACTTGAGATGGTAAAGATTTGCGGTTCGAATCCGACCGGGCCCTTTTTTGCAAATTAGCTTGTGTGATTATTCGGATTATCGTCCGATGCTTTTGAAACTGTTGAAAGCAGGCTGATAGGCCTGTAATTACTCACATCTTGTTTATCTCCGTCTTTGAGTATTGATGCAATTTCACTGACTTTCCATTTTTCCGGAAATCGGGCTTTATTTGCGATGAGGTTAAACAGTAAGTGCAGTGATTTTGGCAGTGACTTGGAGAGACTCTTCAGAAGTAAGTTCCCGATCTTATCCGGTCCCTTGGCTTTATTTACGTCCAGTAGTTGCAGAGCGTTTTCTATTTCATCGGTCGTACAGTGAATCTGATTTAGTAGGGTGCTATTTTGTTCGCCTATTTTCGTATAGTAGGTGTTTTGAGTGAACACTGATTGAAAGTATTCGTTGAATAATATTACTTTTTCAATATCTGTATTGGCAGTTCTTTGATCCAAAAAAATTTCGGAAGGGATAGTGTTTGACTTGGTGGTCGACTTTAAGTATCTCTGTATGGCGCTCAATTTGCCTTCCTTGAAGAGCGTCATCTCATGTAGATGCTGGTCATTTTGAAGCGACAGGGTGAGCTCAGTTTGTAGACATTCGATTTTGATTTTGTTTGACGGCGTGGGCTGCCGTTGTTGTTTTAATTGAAGTGTATTTAACTTCTTGATGAGGTTTGAAGAGTTGCCACCTACCGATGGAGCCAGTTGGGACCTATGTTTCGTAGTTAGTGAAAGAAGATCCTTTAAAATTTCGTGTAGCCACTTAAACCAAAGTTCAACCATCAAGTCCACGTTGCTCATGCAGTATGGTCGGAAGGGATGTTGGAGAATGAACTGATTAATTTCTTTCCAGTTAGCTTTCTTTTATGCAAATATACCGAAGTCTAGCTTTTGTTTGGGAGACGGTGAAGAGATATGTACAGGTCGGATGTCAAACGAGACTTTAGCTTGATAAGGTTTGTGGTAAGAATTGAAGAGACTTCTCAGATGGTTATCAATGACTATTGTAACATTCGTCTACTGCAGTCACACATGAGGCTTAAGAAAAATAGGCCCTATAACCATTGGCTCAAGAGTCAGGGACACTATCTCTTGTGTTTTTGTACCTCAAATCAGTCGGAGCCAATTCGGTTCGCTTGTGACATGAGACTACGACCCGTTACAGCTTAAAGGCTACTACTAAAACATCCCCCCACTCTAGAATTAGAAACGTCCCCATACTTAGGTCTCTAGATACCCAAAATACATGAACGCCGTTAAAAACCGGGTTGGAACAATCCGTTAAGTTACTTTTTATTAGACAGTAGAACTTTGATCCATTTCAGATGGATCAACCTAAAACTCGCCTTACCTCAACATAACGATCATAAAACACACTCTAGAAATTTAAATTAGTACTCACATTGTAGCACGCTCAAGAACCAGGAAGTAAATAAGTCGGTAAGCAACTCAAGAATCAATAAAGCAACTAAAATGAGTTTAATGTTAGTCAGTTTCAATAACAAGAACAAGTTTTTACTCTAGACTGTAAGTTCTCGTGAGCCATTGGGACACTCTAGCTGTCCACCTTTCCACCGAAGGTTCACTCTGGTCCAGTTAATAATAGTACTCCAGTCACAACAATCCAGTTCGTGGGAATGCGCTCGTCTCTGTTTCAGATGGGACAGCTCTACTCTCGATTATTATTGCTACTGAAATTGCGAATAGCAATTTCCCACTGATTTTTCTAGCAACTTTCCCGCGATTGTCACTCGATCGTTCTGACTTCTCTTTTCTGATTTTCAGTTATAGCGAGAAAATCGTGCATGACATGTTCCATTCGAAATTTTGAAAAATTAAATTTCACTCCAAAATCAAGTGTTTTTTTGCTTCTCTCAAGGTCAAACTTCCGAATATGACCGACTGGCACATACTCCCCGGACTCGAGATCGATGTCCTCATCGCGTGCTGTCTTCTGCCAGTGAGTCCCAGAAAACCGAGTGTTACTCAAGATACAGTGCCAGTGGTCATTTACAGAAGTTTGCAGCAGACTTAAGCTTATCTACACCCCAAAATTCACAGCCATGTAAAATTTTCACACTATCGCTAAACAGCAATCAAAATCTGCACACACCTGCACCCTTGAATTCTTGCTTTCCAAGCCAATCATTTAAAATTTCTTTTGTCCTATTCAATCAGGAAATTGTCATGCAGCATTTTGATTCATATAATAAATATAGTATTAATAATAATATTTGCTTTGTTAAAACTTCTTTTTCGTGAATCCAAGTTTCACCCGGATCCACGCTCAAGCCCCCTCTCCCCTCTCAAGACTCAAGATCCATACGAGCCACCCACTCATCTCGCACTCTTCGCCTTGGAGGTACTACACCCTGAAGTACTAGATACGGCAAACTGTCTCAACAGTTCCTCTTCATCATCGGAGCTAATCACAATCTCCTCCCAAGCCTTCAGCTGTTCGTAGGATCGCATCCATTCTCTTTGCTCTTGCAACCTCTTTGCTTGGTTGGGTAGTGCCTTCACCCTAGATTCCCGGTTCAAACAAAAGGAGTTGTGCAGGCTCAAGCTCACGTTCTTCGCCAGGTCCTCCTCTAGTATCGATTCCCTCGCCTTGGTATTGTCTCTAGACATTTTACCCACTCTCTTCCATCCTGTTGTGATTGCATTACGATGGGTTAACAGGGGTCTCTTGAAAGCTTCCGGCCCAATCTCGGCCTGGAACTGTCGATACTCCTTTTGATGTTTTTTCATGTGATCTTTCGTTGTCATGTACAACCAGGACGTCAGCGTCGCCCGAAACCATGGGAAGTACCTCAAACGGCTCCAGACATGTCTGACTTCCGTTGGTATGGCGAATACCTTGCACGCAGTCTCAAACAACTCGAGTCTCCTACTGTAGTCTATCGCGTATATTGACTCTGCCGTTGGCGTCCCCGCTTCCCGATACTTCGTTATATTCTCTTCTATCCATCTCAGAGCCAAGATCGTACTCACTACCAAGATCGTCACCTTCTGTCGGTGATCCGGTAGTCCGATCGACCGGATTTCTTCCATATCCCACACCAGGCAAAGGTTCTTGTGATCTGGATACCACACCGTTTGCGCTAAACAGTGGCATGGGCATTCTCCCCCGAGGCTTCCAAGAGAGGCTCAAGCTCCATCATTTTCTCATGCATCGTGTCGTTATCTTCCAGGTTTGGAGCACTTCCCACAGGTTTTCCGATCACGTTTTGTCTCTCGTGATCGCTTGTGTTCTCTCTCTCCAACTTCAAAAGTTCTTCTCCCCAGATTTCACTCAAGTCATCTCTCAATTCTTTTGGTACTGCCCCTCTGATTTTTCTCAACAACTTGTGCGAGTGATGCGATATCCGAGCCAACCTCACGCACTTGGGCACTGAGAAGGCCTTGTCCACCAGTACTCTATGGCTGGATGCTTCCACCATCACCATGTGCAGTGGGTAGTGACTTCCGCAAAAGTTGGCCATCATTGACCCTATCAGCGATTTCGCGTTCAATGGCAAGCCATAAGCTTCGCTCATGGGAAATCCCATTTCCGC